GTAATCATTTATTGATTCTAATGACTTTTTACTGGTATCTGAAAATGTCTACATACACCATCATGTCATCTGCAAAAATTAATTTTATTTCTTTCCAATTTGCATACCTTTTATATCCTTTCTTTTGTAACTGTTCTTGCTAGGACTTCAAAACTATATTGAATAGTGGTGGTTAGAGTGAACATCCTTGTCTTATTCCTCATCTTAGAGGAAAAGCTTTCAGTTTTTTCCCACAGAGTATAATGTTGACTGTGCATTTTTAGTATTATGGCCCTTATGATATTGAAGTATGTTTTTTTCAAACCCACTTGTTGAGTGTTTTATCATAAAATTATCATAATATCTAATGTTTTTTCTGCATCTATTGAAAAATGATCACATGACTTTATTTTTCTTTTGTTGGTATGGTCTATGTTTATGGCTTTTCATATATTTAATCATCCTTGCATCCCTGGAATAAATCTCACTGATCATGGTGTAGTGTTCTTTTCATGTATTGCTGAATTTGGTTTGCTAGTATTTCTGTTGAAGGTTTTTTAATCTATTCGTTTACAGTTCTCTCTCTTTTTTTTTTTTTTGATGTTTTTGTCTGGTTTTGGAATCATGGGGATGTTGGATTCACAGAATGCATTTGGAAGGTTTACCCTCTTTTTCAGTTTTATGGAAGAATTTCAGAAGAATAATGATTAATTATTCTTTGAAAGCTTGGTAGATTTTACTACTGAAGACATCTTGTCTTGGGCTTTTATTTTTGGGAGGTTTTTGGATCACTATTTTATTTTATTACTTCCAAAAGGTCTTGTTTAGGTTTTCTGTATCTTCCTCATTCAGTCTTGGATGTTGTATGTTTCAAGTATTTGTCCATTTCCGCTAGGTTGTACAATTTGTTGTCATACAACTATTCACAGTACTTTCTTAAAGTTCATTGCATTTTTATAATATCCACTTTTACTGTTCTTTCAAACTATGATTTTATTTGTATTTTCTCTCTCCTTCATGAATCTAGATAAAGGTTTGTCTACTATATTTTGTTAATCTTTTCAAAGAATCAGCCCTTATCAGGTTATTTTTTTGGTCTCTATTTTGTTAGTTCTGATCTAATCTTTATTATTTCCATCAATCTACTGACTTTTGGTTTTGCTTTCTCTTCTTTCTTAGTTCATTTATATGTGATCTTAAACTTTTTATTCATGATTGTTCTTGCTTTGTAAGGAATGCCTGCATTGCTATAAATTTTCCTTTTATCACTGTTTTGGCTGCATCCCATAGGTTCTGAGAAGTTGTGTGTCTTTATAATCATTCACCTGTGGGTTTTTCCTTTTTTTTTCTTTACATTTCACCTTTGATTTCCTCATTGTTTCAACAGTCATTCAGTAACACTTCTACATTTTTTATATTTATATTTCTCTCCAACTCTTCTTTTGGTTGATTTCTAGTTTTATAACATTATGATTGGAAAAGATGCTTGATACAATTATAGTCTTCATAAATTCACTGAGACTTGTTTAGTGCCCTGACATATATGTCCTATTGGTAGAATGCTATGTAAATATATATGAAGTCCATCTCATTTATCATTTAATGCCATTGTTTCCTTGGTGATTTTCTATCTGGATGATCTGTCCATTGCTGATAAGTGCCCCCTATATTATTGTGATGCTGCCAATCTCTCCCTTTAGGTCAGTTTAATATTTGCTTTTCATAGTTCAGTGCACCAATGTAGAGGCATATATATTGATAATTGTTATGTCTTCCTGCTTCGTAGATTATTTGATCACTATATAATGTCCATCTTTTCTCCTCTCTCTCGGCTGGAAATCTATTTTATCTGATAAAAGTACAGTAATTCCTGCCATTTAAAATTTTTTCATTGGCTTGGAATATCAGTTTTTATCACTTTGTCTATATTTTTCATTGTAGTTTAATCACTCTCTCTTGTATGGAACATATAGTTGGGTTTTGTTTTTCAATACATCTGTTGTACACCTGCATCCTTTGATTGGTGAGTTCAGTACATTTATGCTAAGGGTAATAACTGAGGAATTACTATTGCTACTTTGTCATTAATTTTCTGATTCTGTCTATTTCCCTATTTGTGTATGTGTGTGTGTGTGTGTTTCTATTTAGATTGGAGATTTTTTTCAACATTTCTCGAAAGGGAGGTCTAGTGTTGGCAAACTCCAGATACTGCACTACTGATGAGTTCTTAGAAGAGATTTCTTCAAATTTTTATGCTATCATGCAGCAACACTGATTTTCAAAGTAATCATGAAGAATTTGGGTCCTTACTGAAACAAAATTTCAAATCATGATGAATCAAGCCAACATTTTAAAGTGCAACAAAATTTGTAGTAACTTCTCTGTTACAAATACCACGTTATTAGGAAATATGGAATGATAAAATGTCTTTTATTAACTTGCATATAAAATGAGGCTTTGCCTCAAATGATGAGGCAGTGGCAAACAGGTATTCATTACTTGGGAGGAGTAGCTACCACAGGCACTCATATGGATTCACATTTGAATAATGCAAGGTCATTAGGATTTGATAGAGACAAATCTGAGACTGGTCAATCAAAGTGGGTCTAAATCAGTTTCAATGATGTTTTTAATAAATCTGGAATAAATATATTTAAAACATTCACTGACTTTTAAGTTTACAAAGCTCTCTCAGAGTTAATCCAATGTATTTCATCTAGATTTTATTTCAGCTCTAGAAAGACAGAGTAATATAATGAAAAGATCACTAGACTGGAACTAGGATTCCCATGATACTGACTATGTCACCATTACTTTGAGTAAGTAATTTATTAAGCTTCTAGATTTCAATGACCTCAGCTATAAATATGGAGTAGTTCAAAATTTCTATGATCCTGCCTAAAGGAGCTTATTATGCATAATCCTGTGTAGATAACAAGTAACACTTCCATAAATTATAAATATTTGCTTTTTGCAGTATATGTATTCTTCTTGGTGTGTTCATGGTTTTTACTATTGTATACATTAACTTAGATTTTGAAGTTGTGACTAATTTTAAAAAATAAACCTAGAAAGTAAGGGGGCCTAGTGGTGGCTCAAGGGTTGTTAAGTCTCAACACTATGAAGCTATTGGCAGCCATTGCAGCACAAGTTTGATCCCAGGCCAGGTAACTGACCCACATGGCACAGCATTCCTCTCCTGTCTTGCCTGCTTGCTCCCCTCAGCAGTGCATTTCTGTAGATCTGCCTGTTCTGCTCCCTGCTCTGTCTCTTGTGAATCATCTCATTTCCCACATCTCTGGTCTGTACCTCAGTTCTTCTATATAAAAGCAAATAAAATCTTAAAAAAAATAAACTTAGAAAGTAAAAAACACTTAATTGTCTAGTAGAGTTAATGATCTATCCATGCACATGATAACTGCATGATTAGTATTCCTGTGTAAAGTAGGAACTTTATACCACAGTTCAACAAATTTGGTGTAATTTCATCATCAGAAAGGATGGGACATAGACAACTGCTTAAGCAACTGGATAACAATATTTATAAAAAGTGAGATGGAAATGAAGGGATAATTGTGATTTCTTTCATATGTCACAATATGTAAATATATAATTTATTTCATAAAAACAATTCAATAAAGATTCATATAACTTCTATATCTAGCAAATTATATTTTAAATTAACTAGTTTTTGATAAGATAGTGTTGTCAAATTTAACAGATTATGATAACCAGATCATTTACTTTTTGTGAAAGTAAGATGTTCACATTTACAATTTGTTTGAAATGTGTCACAAGACAAATTTCTTAGGACAGCCACTCTAAATCATAACAGTATCATAGAAATTACTACTGCCTTTTATAAGGCACTCCTAGAATCAGCAAACATAGGCCCGTGGGCAAATTCAACAAAAACATAGGCCTGTGTTTGTTAAGTAAAGTCTGACCAACATAGCCATTTATGTATTGTGTGGGGCTACTATCATTCTACAACTGCCGACTTGAGGATTTGTAAAAGAAACTGCAATGACAACAAAGTTTTTGTTGTGGTTGTCTGGTCTTCACAGAATATTTGCTATCTGGACATTACAGAAAAATTGTCAGTCCTTGAGCTATTATTAGGGTTTAGGATAGAAACTTCAGAAGTCACTATAACTGCTAAAACAAATACAGAATTTTTAAAAATAGAAACAGAAAAATAAAGGAGTATATATTAAATTGCTTTAGGTATTTAAAGCTACCAAAGATTTCATCAAAATCAAGAAAAAAATTTATTTTCTTTTTTTTTTTAAATTTTTTTTATAGAGGCATGTTTTTATTTATTTATTTATTTGTTTGTTTGTTTGTTTGTTTATACATGCACTAGGTACAGTCAGAAGTGAGGGAGGGTGAGAGAATTCACCAGAGCCAGAGCGGGGAGCAGAGCAGGCAGAAGGACCGAGGTACACTGCTGAGGGGAGCAGCAGGTGGCAGGAGAGGTCTGCGCGCCATGTGGGACCCTCCTCCGGTGGCCGGGGAGCAGCCGGGGATCGAACCGGCGCCGCAGAGGCCGCGGGCAGCTTCGCAACCCAGCACTCAACCACTGCGCCACCGGGGAGGCCCAAGAAAAAAATTTATTTTCAACAAATAATCTTGCTTATTATAAAGATTTCTTTATAACACATCACAGGATATTAGAATATAGTAATGAAACATTTTAAAATGTCATTGGCCTACTGACTTGACTTTTAAACAGATGCTTAACATTAATAACATTTATAGAACAATGAATCTATTATTGGTAAATTATATTTGATCAGAGTAGTAAAGCAGAAATTGTTTTGCAATCAAAAATTCAGACATAAAGGAAGTACAAACATATCAATAAATGAAATTTCCTGTCAAATGCAAAGAATACATTCTTAAGCACAGCACTCCCCCCACCCCCAACATAACTGGCCTTTCTTTAAACTGTACTACTTTGTTAATGTGGTCTCTATTGTCTCCATAAAAATAAATTTTGATTACTTTTTTTTTTTTACCTTGAGATCACGGTACACAATCTTTCCAGAATGTAGATAGTCCAAAGCAGACACAATTTCTGCACCATAGAAACGTGTGCGGTCCTCAGAGAACACCCGCTCTCTCGACAAATGGAAAAACAGCTGCAGAGTAAACAGCAGGGACAGGATTGTAATAATTACTGATTTAGTGGGGGAAATTAACACAAACATAAAACACCTCTCATCACCATATTGTGATGATAGATAGTGTGCTCTCAGTGGACATGAGCACTCTTAGACAGCAGCTGGCTTATCTTTTCCAGGTTTCCAAGGGGAGACAGCGAGCTGTTAAATCAGCGTTTTAATCAATATACCAATCTTGTTTAAGGCATTCTGCTTGCTACCCATTTAACCTTCAGTTACCAGAGGAAAAAAAGTATGCATTATCAGACTGTATTTCCCTCTCACTATACTGTTGCTTTACTCCTTCAAGAATTAGATATTGAGACATTATTGAAATAAATGAAGAGAAGCATAGACATAAAATCCCTACTCAATTATTTGATTGCAATGGTAAGCTGCTGATTTGCTGAAAGTGATTTTTGTGAACATGTTATATTCTATGTTTGTAGATTCATCATTGTATCTCTAGAAATATTTTCAAAATGTGAATATCTGTTTTCTATGGTGAAAAACATAAGGCTTTAAGTTGCTCATTTACTATAGTAATACCCAAAATGAACTCCCATCAGTCCCCTCATAGTTCTCAATATATATTGTTTTCACTAAGAGTTAACTATAACACCAACATTTTCTCATAAAATCACTTAAAACTATAAGGCTACCCATTCCTAGTTAATCATCTAGAAGATTTACCACTCAAGAGTAAACAAATGCTTATGGGAGGCTCACTATTGCAGAGCAGCAAGCACTTCATTTTGGTTAGTTTTTAATGAAAGAAACTGCCTATATTATTTTTAATTCTGACAATGCATCTGAGGAACAAGCAGGTTTCTTCTTCCTCAAAGAAGACTTCAGTTGTACTAGTTCACTGTATTAAGAACTCCGTCAACCTGTTGGGACCATTAACAAAGAAATCAGCCATGTGTACCAGTTTTCAATAGAATGGTAAACTAATACATTTGTGTTGTTTCAAGTTAAAAAAAGGAGAAATCTGCCAAGAACAATGGACAGAGCCAAAGATATTGCCAGGTATCATAGTGCTACTTAATACATGTCTATGATTAACGATACTTATCTTTGACTTCAATGTCAGACATTCACTCTACCTTCACATGGGGTACTAACTCTTACTGTTCCCACACAGTTGTAAGAACACACCAGGTCATACTGTAGGTAATGTAATAAAGGTTCCCTACAGATTCCTTTCCACACCTTTACGTAAGTCTACAACTGTTTTAAGATAAACTTTATGCACAACACAGTCACAGTAAAAATGAGAAAACATCATGTAACCCAAAAAGAGACTGCTTCACAGCTGCATTAAAAAAAAAAAAAAAGAAATTAGACCATGCTCTCACAACATACACCAAAATCAACTAAAATGGATCAAAGACTTGGATGTAAAACCTGAAATCATAAAATACACAAAAGAACACAGAGGCAAAACATTTCATGACATAAGTTTTAGTGGTGTCTTTAGGGATTTATCCCCAACAGCAAGGAAAACAAGAGAACATAAACAGCTGGGACTACATCAAACTAAAAAGATTTTGCACAGCAAAACAAATCATAACTAACACAAAAATACACTGTGCTTAATGGGAGAACATATTTGTACACCATACATCTAACAAAGAACTGCTATCAAAGATCTACAAAGAACTCATAAAACTATATAAAAACCAAACAAATAACCAAATCAAAAAATGATCAAAAGAACTAACAGATACCTCTCCAAATAAGACATTAAAACAACCAGCAGGCACACAAAAAATTGCTCACAATTACTTATTATTAAAGAAATGCAAATCAAAACCACAACTGGATACCACCTCACACAGTGAAAATGACCCATATACAAAAGATCAGAAACAACAAGAGCTGGCGAGGACGTGGAGAAAAAGGAACCCTCCTACACTGCTGGTGGGAATGCAAACTGGTCCAGCACCTATGGAAAGCAGCATTGAGGTATCTCAAAACATCAAACATTCCACTCCTACACAACTATCAAAAAAATTCAGAAACACTAATTTGAAGGGAAACTTGCACTCCCATGTTTACTGCAGCACTATTGACTCTAGCTAAACTATGGAAACAACCTAAGTGCTCTAGAACACATGAGTAGATCAAGAAGGTATAGTATAGGGGCTCCCTGGTGGCGCAGCAGGTTGAGCACCGTGCTGTGAAGCTTTCCGCAGTCTCTGCAGCATGGGTTCAATCCCCGCCAGCTGGTGAGAATCCCACATGGTGTGGCGGACCTCTCCTGTCTGGCCCACTGCTCCCCTCAGCAGTGTATTTCTGTCGTCTGCCTGTGCTGCTGCCTGCTCTGTCTCTGGTGAATCCTCTCACCCTCCCGCGCATCTGGCCTATACCCCAGCTCTTGGATATAAAAATAAATAAATCTTTAAAAAAAAAAAGAAGGTGTAGTATATACACACAATGGAATACTAATCAGTGATCAAAAAAGATAAAAGCACGCCATTTGCAGCAACATGGATGGAGCTTGAAAGGGAAATAAGTCAGAAAGAAAAAGATAAATATTGGATGGCGCCACCAATATGTGGACTATAAACTAACTACAACAACAGTTAGATAAAGACAAGCTGAAAACTAACCCTTGGTAACTGACTATAGAACTAAAACACCAAGGATGGAGAGGAAAGCACAGAGAGAAGGATGTACAATGGTCTTTGGTGGTGGAATGTGAGTGAGTTGGTAGTGGGTGCACTGTAGTGGTAACACCTGATAGCGGCACCCCAATGTTACCTTAGTTAAATGTAAATTTAATTTTTTAATTAATTAAAAATTAGGAAAAAAGAGATGGGCTGAACATTGCTTATAAAAAAACCTAAAATACTAGGCAGAAAATCTCTAGTATAATGTTCCCTACTTTGTCGTTATATTTTATTCTACCAAATATGGCATTTACTGAAACTATATAGTCATTTAATGTTAACACCATTAAAGAAAAAAATGTCAACAATTAAAAACTATAACATATCATCAAATTAAAAAAAAGGCATTCTGATTGCAGAAAATGTTAGATGTGTCTTACAAATGATAGACATAGTATGCCAGGAATCAAACTGATATACACAGTTATTCAGGAATACTTTTTAAAAATTATATGTATGTATCTCTCTCTCTATCATTATTATTAATGCATTACCTCTCAGGGAGGACAGGGAGTTGAAAGAAACATGGATCATTTACTAAAAGTATCCAAAAATTTTTTTCTGTGAAGAAATAATTTCTACCATGTTTTATTAAAAATATCACCAACTTTTATCAAGTTAGTGATCTTTATGTAGATTTATGGTAGTCCTATGGTAGTCTTCTAATGGGATGAAAGTATTGTAGAAGTTTGTAAATTTTCTTAACCTAATGTCAAACCTACTACCAATTCAACTAACTACACAAAGGATATAAATCCTCCCTAAATCGATAAAACACAGAATTCTAGATTATTATTTAGACCATATATCTTCAATCTGTCTCCAACTATGTGTCTATAAAAATACCAGCTAAAAAATTATATTTAAGGAGAAGGATTCTATTTATTTCTCAATCTGCTGTCCTCTGTCTTATTCTTGGTAAGATAACTAAGCCTCTCTTGTCAAATCCAATGATATTCGTATAGTTTAAACCCCCTTTCCTGTTCTATCAGATTATAAGGCCACCTTTTGCCCTTTCATTCTGGAAACAAAGTCTTTGGGCTTAGTAATACTACACTCTGATTTTACACTAACACTGTATATTCCTTATCAGTTTCTACCTTGAATTTCAGCCAATCTTCCATTAGTGATCATTAATTACTTTAAAGATACCATGTTGGGAAACGGGAGAGAAAGAAAGGGAATACAGTGGTAATTAAGACATAATCCTTGATCTTAAGAAATTCATGCCAATAAATGAGATACAAGCAGGTACTTAAAAAAACAAGAAAGCTGTGTTAATTTATAATTCTGATATTTAAAATGCTTTATAGACAGTAATTTTACTGAAACAATCTGTACACTGAACTAAACAGCTAATATAGTTCTTGTACATAGTAGGTTATTAATAAATATTGGCAGAAATAATAAATTCTATTGAAAAAAATAACAGTCATAGAAAGGAAACACAAGCTTGGAACACATGTAGCTTATGAATAATACACATTAATTTTTTTTACATCATTGTTCATTTTTAAACAATGTTTGCTTCCCCCCACCCCCTCAGGTGTAGTCCCCATAGAGTTTCCTTCACCATTGCACCTGTGCACCATCACCTCAGTCCCCTGTGCCCCTCCCCCCATCTCTCTCCCTCCTCCTCCCCTGCAGGATGTCTCTGATTTATAATTGTCTGTTTTTGCTTTGTTGTGCTTTGTACTGTCATTATTTTTTCTCACTGATGTCTTATTTGGTTCCCCTATAGTCCTGCTATAAGTGAAATCATGTGATATTTTTCTTTTTCCTTCTGCCTTATTTCACTGAGCATAATTCTTTCTAGCTCCATCCCGTTGCTGCGAATGGCATGGGTTTAACTTTTTTGATTGTTGGGTAATATTCCATTGTTTACATGTGCATCTTCTTGATCCATTCATCTATTTTTTGGCATTTGGGTTGTTTCCTGGTTTTACCTATTATAAACGGTGCTAAAATAAAATAGTGGAAAAAAATAATGACCCTAAACAAAGGTAACTGTACCCAGGGAAATAATGTATGAAGACAGTTCAGACAGGCCATGCTAAAAATCAAAGATGTGACATTTGTGAAGTCCAAACTACTTGCTGAATGAGATCACTCATATAATCATCACTGCAATGAGCAGTGACTACATGCCCATATTTTATCCCTCATTAAAAAGATATGCTCTGCTTTTCAATAAACTATTATTTCCTTATTAAAAAAATACACAATCCTAGGATGCAAAAAAATAAAAAGCTGGGTCAAACTGTTTAGGACCTTGACTGCCAAAATACGTGTTTGAGATTTATT